TGTTATAAATTAAATGTTGTAAATCTAGGCATAGATATATGTGTAATAGCTCACTTTCTGTCCTTTCAATCGATTTTTTATTCTTCTAATTTTTTTTTATTCTTTTAAGAATGATTCTTATTTTTTATTTAATTAATTTAAAAATACAGGCGACAATGCCCGGGGCAAGCATCTAATTTATATTAAAGATAATCATCAAGAGTGGTGGAGTTGGAATCTATTTCAGTGATAAGGATTACTGTGACTTAATTTATTAATTATCAAAATTAGTTTTTATTGTTAAGAGTAGTTTTTATCTAATAGTGTAGACAGCCCTATAAATATGGTATCTACGCTTTATTTTGTAATCAAGTCAATAACAATGTAGTCTTCGAAGTTTATTCTAGTTTCTTTTCTCTCGATTTATTTTTTTCATATTTCAATTTTCTCTTATATATGTTGTCTTAGAATGTGAAAAGATGTCACAAAAATGTGATATGATAGATAGAGAATACATTAATAAATTATAATAAGAAAAAAAAGAGTAGTGAAATAAATGAACCAAAAACATTTGCTCAAGAAAAAATAAATCTCAATTATCGTACTATTTTATGGTAAAATAACAAATCATTTTATTTTGAAATTATGGAGAAACGGATACGTTACATCATATAAGTTATTCTGGGTGAAACAAACTTTAATATTTTTTTTTCTAAACAACTTTATAAGTGCTTAAATTATTACACTGGATGGAGTTTATAAAACAAGAGATAGTATTACTAATGTGAGAAATTATACAAATACATACCTAATCTACTTGAACTCCTTTAAAAATGCCTCATTCAGCTGTTGTTGTTTCTTACCTTACAGGAAAGCTTAGCCAGCGATGAATTGCTGCCGAGTGTGTGTGGACCGGGTCACTGCGGTTGGATACCTAAATCATTATACTAGGGCACCTCTCATTGGAAAAAAAACTACACAAATAAACGTAATGATATTTCCATGGAAATATACGTATGAAATTTTTATGCAGCATAAAAATTGCCGATTTATCTCAGTACTTAATTAGATGATCCCAGTAAGGCTGTTAACATATCTCAGTAGCTACATATAAAAATATTATTCATTACTGATATTTTGTTCAAAATTATTTTAAAAATTACTATAACAATGACAAAATCTGACAGGTTAAGGCTACAACAACAGAAGAACATCGAAATCCGCTGGTTATTTATAGTTAAAAAGAATCGACGATTACTTCTTTTAAAGGACATTTTATATATAGCATATCACAACATTTAATGAAGGGTGAGACGGTTTAGTTACCTTCAATTAATGACGGAAATTAATAATGAGGCCGGTACTTATAACACAGTTCCCCGTAGTACTTCCGTTTACCAAAAGGTACGGTCAAATCTTTCTTCCTCATTTTGTCCTTTATGAATATTGATTTTATACCGAAAATAATTATTTTTTGCGTACCCTCCAACTCCTTTTGAATCTTTTTTTTTTCCCCCGGTTAAGAATAAACTTATGAAGATAAAACAAGATTTTAGAGTATCTTTAATTACTTATTAACCAAAGAATGACTTTTTCTTTTCATTCATTAATCGTACAAGTAGTAACGATATTGAGTTCTCAAAGCATGTTTTTCCCTTAAATCATACATTTTAGTTTCATAAATTCATGTGATAAAATGGTTGATGAGGCGACATGTCACGTACAAAATAAATAAAGATAATCATATAACTGTAGATTGTACGTGTTTCTTTAATATTAAAAAAATGTGATGATGAGGATTTATATAGTTTTAATGCAATTTCACTTGTTTAAATGCGTAACGAGATCAAATTATCAGGGTTTTATTTGAAACTTAGTCGTAACATCAACAATTAATCAAGGAATTAATGAACCTGCTCATCATTAATTAACTAGCACAATTGAGTTAACTAAAAGGTACAACCGAAGATCTTTTGATATCTTTCTATGGTTCATTGGATTGCTCTTTGGAAGTTGCAAGACCGTTTACTTATATAACGCTTATAGTTTCTACGTCTAAACAAATTGTCGTACTTTTTGTTCTGCATTATGATGATACCTCTGATGATCGTTGAATTATCATATTCTGAAGACTCAAAAAGAACAATTATAAACTGTATGAGACTTTAAAAAAAAATCCATATCTCGATGCTACGTCCGATTACCATCAATTTTCATTATCAATAGCTAGTTGTACAAGAATAGATTTGTTGATTTTATTACAATAGAACTATTTCGAATAACCTGTTGACCAGGAATTTTTATTGGTAAGTACATGGACCGGTCGTTAGTCGTTATTTGCGTTCCCCCCAAAAAAATTTTAAGTTATTATAATTACTACTAGTAATTTATTAATTTGCCTTGGTAGAGCAAAACTTTTTACATTTTATTACAAATCAGAGGGTGAAGCAATGTTTACGGCTGATAATCATGGTTGATGAATGAGCAAATGACGGCCGAAAGTAAATTACAGTTGACTCTTGGCCGAAAGAAAACCCTATTTACAGTACTTTGAAGGACCAAGTTTCAATTGATGACGAGTAGTACTTTGTTCTTGACTCTTGAGGGTCAGAATTTCAATGATCAAATGGTAATTAATTTGTTGAAGAATTTATGGTTGTTTATATTGGAGTTTAGCAAAGTCAAAGTGATAGAAATAAACAATGATTTTGAAGGACCAATTTTATTGAGCATCAATTGGGATCATGTGCAATTAAGAAGAAGGTAACATGATGAACTGAGAATTTTCACACTAGCCAATTAACAATATTGTGAATGATTAATAAGGCAATTAATAGCTCTAGTTAGAAGCAAGTTCTTCTTATCAGAAATCACATGGAGAAGATTATCACAGTGTTTAGATGAAAAATCACGTCTTAATTTCACATGGGTATTCTTCACGCAAATTCCAAAAAAATCCAAAATATGTATCGGTAATCTACATCTACTAAATCTAGTATCCAATGTTCATATTAACGTTAAAAATCAACCTTAATTTGTCCTCATTCATTAAATCGAGTGAACATGAATCCTAGTGCGATATGTATGGATTATAGCAAATGATTTGCCACTTAATTACTATTATATATACATTTGTAATAATCTCTCTAAGCATCTTTTTTTTTATTGATTAAACTATACTTTAAACTCAAGGTAATCAAAATTACTCCCTCCGTCCAAGAGAAAAAATAAATTCATTTTGTTATATTGTTTTACTTTCATATTAAAATATTTTTTAGCTCAAATAGTGTATATGCATGAAGGTAGCATAATCAAACAAGTTGTACGTATATCAATAAATTTTTTAATTGGGAACTATTTAACTTTTGATGTGTAGTTGACTGTCATGCCCGCCAAAGTAAGTCGGTACTAATTTGAAAAAGAGAGGGAAACTGGCGCGACGCGAGATTGAGACATTTAATGGTTTCATGTACATGCGGGTCATGTATCGGGCTGTACATGACCCGTTTGATTGTTTTGTCTTTATGCTATAAATATATACTTAGATTGTCCTGGATGAGTATTCCAAAATTATAAGAATTGTGTGATCTTTCTCTTTCATCAAGTTGTAACCACCGGAGCTCTGCATCCGAGCACTTTCCGGCCAAACCGTTACCATTTTGGTTCCGGTGAAGCTCTATTTCCTTTTAATAAAATCCATTTCCATTTCATAGCTTAACATTGACATTAGTACTTTGGGCCTGCAGTGAATCCAGTTCATAATAAATATGATAGGTTATTAATTCTGGGCTGCAAGAATTTGTAGAATTCCAAATAAATCTATTACAGCCCATTGAAGGTATACTTAAACTTTGTTCTGTTTTTAATTAAGTTATCGTTTTTTGTATTTACAAAAATTCACTTGAGTTTATATTTATTCTTCAAGTTGTGAATTGATTCTCACCATCACCACCGGATCACGCTTTATCAACCCCTAACAGCCTCCTGTTGTCGTCGGACCACAGTTAACTAACAACTATTGACAAGTGGTAATTCAATTATAACAAATGGCGATCGGAATGGTCCAGTGATTGTTGAGGGTATGTTATGATGACGGTTGATGATATATGCAAAAATAGTTTGTAGGCTGATATTAAAAAGTAATTCAAAATGGAATTTGAGTATACAACATTTCTCGTTTCGTTAAAACCTATTCTTTTCCCCAAAAAGTACTTCGTAATAAAAGAGACTTCTTTGCGGATTCTTATTTATTGATAGAGGTGACTTTGTCAATGGCGATATAGGATTTGGAGTTACTTCTTCAATTAAATTTCTTTAGAAACAAGAATGGAAAATCCCCCAATACTGAACTTAGAAAACTAATATGGTATGAAGTCTATTTTGGATAAAACGAATTGTGTGTATATGTTTTTCAACCAGGATGATAAAGTTTGAAACCTCCCCCTCGCTACCCCAAAATTAAAGGAGAAGAAGATGAACGTGTAATTTTTTTTTTATTATTATTACAAAGAAGGAGGCTAATGCCTTATTAGAACATTTCTGGGATATGCTAACCCGATAACATCATGTTATAGCCATGAGATAACCCCTGATAGCGGTTACCCAAGCCATTGTAGCCCTCCCGGCCTGTATGAAGCTAAAGAAGTTAAATAGTCGGCAACAAAATTGGTCTCTCCTATCGATGTAATTTTATAAAAAAAAATTATATAAATTATAAACAGTATCAAATTTGTGATCCTATATTAAGGGTAGTACATATGGGTTTGGTAACATTTTAATTACATCCTTTGGGCCAGGGAACAAATGATGCAAACACCTGAAAGGCCAAAAAAAGTACTAAGCTTTATTCCGAGTGATTATTGTCCCCAATCGACTTCTTCTCAACGATTCTACGTATACAAAATTTTTTCAAGATCAAAATTTAGGGCAGCAAAAATTGACCCCGTTAAGATTTTACGAAAAAAAAAAAAAGAGAGAATAAAAAATAAAAAAATATTGTGTATGGATTGAATTTAATTCTTCTACAAACAGCCTCTGGGTTGAACAAATCCATGATAACTCCCACCAGCATAAGCGCATGCAACTCTAGCGGCTTGATTCCCATAAGTAAGGCTAATATCTTGAAATGTTATGCTTCTGCATGGGTTATTTTGGCTACAACCAATTGATATAGCCACTGGCGATGCTGATCTTCCACGAATTTGTTTGAATGTTACAGCACTAATTTTCACTCCAGATGCCTGCACAAAAAGAAATATATTTATACAATTGATTACGAGAAATGGGGGATTTTATATTCATAATATGTCACGTTAGTTAATATGTTTGTTTCTGTAGAGAAAAATAAGTTAATTCAACTCCCGGCCAATACTGTTATTTTGAAATGAATGGAATATTTAATTAATCGATTAGATTGTGGGATAAAATGTACCTGATTGGGGCAACTATTAGGGTGATCAGGGCAGTAATGTTGGTCAATGACGATAGGATTTTTTACATTCCCCATTGTTACATCCTGGAAAAGTACATTCTTTACAAATCCATTGCTAGGTCTTGCCCAAGTCTTTATTCTGACACCATTTTGAGTACCTTGAAAATTGACACTTTTTACAGTCACATTTTGAACTCCAGGTTCTTGTTTATTCCACCCTAGGCTCCCAATGCTGCATATATCATCCAGAAATCTCCATATTAATTTAGTGGATGCATTATGTAAATATCAATAGTAATGAACATCAACAATATCATAATTTACTTTTAAAACGTGGGGTAAATTTGAAATGTGATGGTCGTTTTCTACAACACTTAAATCATTAAAATCTTGTTTACCTTATTCCATGTCCAGGGCCACAGAAAATACTCTGGATCAACACATTAGAGGAACCAGGGCCCATGGAAATACAATCATCCCCAGTGGCAATTATAGAGCTTAACACAGTGACACCATTAGAATTTTGAATATGAATGCCATCGGTATTAGGGCTATTGCTTGAGGCTGAGATCTTCATTCCTTGTATCATGACATTGTTGCAGCCATCAACAATAACGTGAAACAGCTGGCTGTTTAATGATGTCAATCCACTCACCACAATGTTGTTCGAATTGTAAATTCCCAATGTCTGGATGAGGAATTTTGTGTCAATTAATGATCAACTCATAATTTTTTATTTTGTTTTTATTTTTGTGAAAAAAAAGCGCACAAAGTGTATGAACTGCATTAACAATAAACTGCTAGGGATCGTTCATAATTCTATACCTGATCATCCCATGTGAGGAATTATACATGCATGTGAAAATGATCTAATTTCTTTTTGCATATAAATAAGTTAAGAAAATAATAAATGATATTCACACTTGAATTTTATTTTATTTTTATCTTGCCTAAAATGAATTAACAAAGTAGCTAGGACTATGATTGTAGCAAATATTTACTAATGATTTGACGCAAGCTAGAAGATTTATCTTGCTATATATAGTGTAGTAAAAAAAAAAAAAAGAAGGTCCATACAAATCTAGCACATAAATCTATTGCACGACCTCATGACTAGTAGTAAAACCAAATATTAAATCTCAGATCTTTAAATCCGTAAAAAAAAAACAAAAAGCGAAACATGAAAAATATTTTACTCATTCTATCCAATAATGTCTTTTAGACTTTCGTTTTTCAATAATGGTGTTAAATATTTTCATATTCTTTCTTGTAAATTTATTTTCTTAGAATCAAATGGTGAAAGTAGTTTTTTTTTTTTTTTTTCTGCAGTAAATTTATGTTTGTTCTGAAAACAAGATGCATGCTTAATTTACGAAGTAGCTAGGCGTACCGATGCTCCGCCAGGACAATTACCGCCGGAGGCCTTGCAGCTCCAAAGTCCGGCACCTTGTCCATCTAGGGTTCCACCGATAATTTTAACTCCGTTAACACGTTCAAAGCTAAGCCAATGAGCATTGTGGCCAGTGACATGGTAATCGTACGGCTGAACCAGCGTGCCATCGATCCGTATCGTTATGGAGTTCTTACAAGAATGTCCCCAGAATTGTGCCGTGCCGAGCACGTATTTTCCTTGTGGTACGTAAATTGTTGATGGTTTTCCTGATGCACAAGCCGCTGCCCATGCATTAAGAAAAGGCTTCGTCGAATCGGATTTTCCGTCGGGTTTTGCCCCGTAACTTTGCACATTATATGTTGTTGCTGCTAATGAAAATTTCAGTAATAACAGTAATAAGAAGGAGAAGATGGGAAATAAATGGAGTACTTTTGGAGTGATGATCACCATTTCCTTCTTTTTCTTGAAGAAATTTTGGAATTTGATTTGAAGGATATGGTGATGGATATGTAGAGAACTGCTAATGTATGTTCTTGTAATCTTGTTTGAGGATTTCTTGCATTTATATGTAGCCATTTTTAAGAAGATTAAATTGAATATTAATTAAATAAGTTTTAGAAGATGTCGCACTCTATGATTAAGGCTATGATTGAGTTATATGTGAAAACTTGTCACGTTGGATCATGATTGAGTAATAAGCCATACTTCTTATAATTCTTGACACTACGTGGCGCAAGCTAAGGAGATTGCACTTGCAAAATGTTAAAGAAATAATTTCCATTTTGTCTGCCATGAGAGGCATCCATTGCTTGGAGAATAAATATTAGTCGAAGAATGTTAGAACTACAGTGTAAACTCAATTTGGACTGATAATGGAAATGAGGGCTTGATTTATGATGAATGTTTTCACGATATATAATGAGCACTTTTGATTTGTTAAAACTATTATTTTGAGAATTATGAAATGAATAGAAGTGGTCATATGAGAGAATGTGAGCAAGTACAAGACCGTATTGCATCCATGTGCATGCCCCTCTTGTGATGGATCAGACAAGATTAGAAGTAAACTCTAAATATATAAGCAGATGCATCTATGATATAATCAATGATTGAACGTTCAAATGAAGTACGATCAAGAAGAGGCAAAGTCTAATCCGTATACTACAGTGTCTACCAAGAAAAACAAGAATTAAAATAATTCATTAAAGCACATGGATCAAGATGCCCAGCTCTCTCCTTATCGAACAATTAATCCTTTTGCTCAAGAAGGAGAATTCGATGTGATGGTACTTTCTTAAATACTTTGCCAGTCATTTCTTAAACTTTGATCTGTTGATTTTCTGATCGAGTTGCTGCTTAATTAAATGCCTGGCAGTATCTTAATAGTTGAGGAGCAACTTCGTCAAACATAGTAGGAAATTCTGGCCTGCAGAGATAAACTAGTGTTCGGAGAATTGAATGACAGCCTAGTGATTAGATTGTTGTCCTTTCTAATAATAGACCAGGGTTCAATTCTCACCAAGAGTTGTAGGAGGAGTTTTACCTACATTTAATTAGGGTCCACTAAGGTAAATTTTTGAAAAGAAAAAAAAAAAAAAAACTAGTGCTCTTCATTGAAAAAAAAATATAAAAATGATCGCACAACTTCAATGATTTCTTAAGTGGTTACGCGGAAGAAGGATATTACACGGTTTCTAAATGCAAAAAAAGTTATACCATGCACTTTCGCTTTTTTATGTGTTGCTTTTTGGCTTCCAATATGATATACTCCCTCCGTCCCATAATTATTGTCCAGTTTGAGATTTCACTTTTAGTACAATTTGAACTAAAAATGAAAACTCAAACTGGACAATAATTATGGGACAGAGAAAATATATATTAAGAAAGTCATGGATTAGAAATTTAAAACACTTTCTGAAAAGCAATAAATGTAGTAAAAGTACAGAAAAAGATATAGTATCTGGCGTGGTACATGGGTAGTTACAAAATTGTCTTTGGTTAGTCGTAGTTATTAAGGGTGGAGTTTGGTGTATAATTATCTTTTTTATTTGTCACTATCCTCTTTTACTATGAATTTTTTTTAGGACATCATGCATAAGATAAAATGACAAGCATCAAGTAGAGAAATAAGAATGCAAAATAAGATGTCTTGGAGGGAAAAAGACAGTAGTTTCATATTTGCATAGTTTTTTAATTTCTTATTTCGGTATTGTTAGAAAAAAGCTAGAGGTATAGTTTTTCATCTATGGATTAAAATAAATTGAACGATTCTATTACTGCCGAAGTAAGGAATTTAAAATGTTGGGCCCTCTGCAGGGATTACACAAAAATCAACCCATTCAGAGTATCTTTCATAATATTTTGGGCTTTTACCTCCTTCTTTGTACTAAAAAAAAGTATATTTCTTAACATTGAACGGCGGCAAAGTTGACAATATTATGGAATGAGGTTCGTTTGGAAATATCCGTGAGGTACATAATTTTTTTTCTGTACTTTTTTATTAATTTAAGTTGTGAAATTAAAAGTTTGTATGAAAAATGAAATATCACAGGCTCCAGGGACTACAGACAAAATGATTGGGAGTTTGAGTCTCAAAAATGATTCACGAATGAGAACTTTTTATCCAAACATGTCTGTTTAAAAATAACTCACGATTCATGCGAAAAAGCAAACCTCCAAAAAATATGTTTGGAAATAGATTAAAAAATGAAAGAAACCCCAAAACACTTCCTTATTCAGAACTTTTGGTGTGTATTGTTCCTTACTAAATTCCACAAAGTTTACAAGTCCTCGGACTTATTCCACCAAAGGGTTTGTGGAATTTCTGTGGATACTGTTCGAGGACATTTATATAGGCGGATAGACTAAGAGAACATGTAGTATTCTTATCAAGGAGAGTGAAATAAAAAGAATCACGATAGCGAGAGATCCGGCATGGAAATGTTTCAAAGATATTATTTGGTCAACCATCGTCACAATTTTTAGTTTTTCCAAACTTTTTCTAAGTTCATTTATTTTAGATTAGTGTTAGGTATAAGAAAAAAAATGACAAGGAAAATTTACAAGGAATGAAGTATTACTATCTAAATTATGTCCTAATTTTAAACGCATAAACTCTATTTAGAAAGTTTTAACAATGAATGGGTAAGATCATTTTCTTGTAATTTTTCCTTTTTATTTTTTTCTTTTACCTATCATTATTCTTTATTTTAAGGGAAAAAGACATACAAGTCAATGAAAGAAAACCATAACGATGGAAGATGGCCATGCAATATTAATAGACCAAATTACATAATTGGAACGTCTGGACTGTCTCCTTCTAGAATGCGACAATCATCCGAAAAGAGAATTTGACAATTGGATGATCCTAGCACATATTTTCATGTTTATTTGCGAAGAATTCACCTAAATAGTTTGTGGGATATTTTAAGTATTTTTGGTCCATTAATTAATGCTGTTTTACGTCGATTCGAAGGCGTTCTGATGTATCATGCATGGAAGAAATTTGTCTAAGTCGTTGCGCAAAATTTCAAATGGTGGAATTTGGACCAAAAGCATCGCAATACGAAGGAATGGAACAAAGTCAAGAAATAATAATGGAATAAAAATCATGAATCTCAATATTGGAAATTTCGTCCATCAAAATCACAATAACTTCTGTAACTAACAAGAGAACTCATTAGTCTTCATTCACCACCCACTGTGACTTAAGTTTCTCCTTGACCACTTTATTGCACATAATAGCAAAAGCACATAATTCTTTCTTCTTTTTTTTTTGGTAAAAATTCACAACAATTAGCAAGTATACACACAATCGCCATGGAAAAAGGGCGGAAAAAAATACTGGAGTCATAGTTTGCAAACTCGCGATCCTGGATCGTAGGATCGTCCGATCCTAGGATTCTAGGTAACAAAATCAATCTTGGATCGATTAAACTCGAATTTTACAGTGGGATCAAAGTGGGATTGGTCAGGATCGGTTAGGATCGTACATGATCGGTCAGGATCGTAGGATCAGTTCGTGTTTACTATTCATTAATTACAAAAAATTAATTGAGCTTATTGAAAATTTTCTTTTCTTATTTCTTTTGGTCTACATTTAATTGGGGCTAATATATTCATTGAGGAAACTTTTATTACTAAGAAAAATATATTTTAGAAAGTTTTTCTAATAAAATGAAAAGAATAACTATAAGAGAATAGGTTTCATTAAGAAGTTACAAAAAAATTCACACACGAAAATTGAATTTACACAATTTTTTTCGTTTAAATGTTAAATACTTTATTTAAAGATAATTGAAATCTAATTATTAAAGCAATTAATTATATAATATGTATAATTAATTTTACGATCCTATTATTCCGATCCTATCGATCTCGTTTACGATCCGATTCTATGCCCTATTTCGATCTTACGTAGGATCGCGATCCTGCAAACATTGATGGGAGTGATACAAAAGAGTGTACATTTAATTCTCAAATCTTCCATTTTATTCACGAATACCATAGAAAAACGTTACAAGTCAAAATGATACCGCAACGACTACAAATGTGTCCATTTGCATATAGTAGGAAAACTAAAGCAACTGCTCGGAAAACAATGCATAATAGTAGTAAGTTGTGTAATCAGATGAAGAATACAACAATTCTCATGACACAAAACGGAATTAATAATGTCGGACCACAACATGGAACTCCACAACAGCATTGAGCTTTTCGCTATCAACCGTAAAAGTATTTCCGACCGCGGTTCCACGGGCTAGCCGAAACGCACCGGTGCCTCCCAATACCGGCAATTCTCTGTACTTTTGAGAAATGGGGTTCCTCGCTAAAACGCAAAGAGAACTGTCTTTATATTCGCCTTGGGTGAACACGAAATGAACCGAAACTGAAAGCACCGGCTCAGCTTGGCCCACGTAGCTAACGGAACCTTGCATCCGGCCCACGAGTTTGGAAGTCGGATCCGAGCCCGAAGTTAACGGAGCATCCAAAACGTAGGTTGACCCGAACTGTGTAGAGGCTATGTTGCCAGTGTTGGCTGGAGCAATTAACAGATTCGTGGGATGGTCCGCGGTAACTTCTTCGTGGGCAAAGAAATGGAGCTTCGCAAGCTTGGGCTTTGCTTCATGATGCTTAATGTTTTCTTGGAACCATTTGTCTATCACTTCAGGGCTGATCTCATTATCAGCATTAATAGCTTTAGCCCAAGAATCAGCCATGATCGATGATGATTTTAATAACTTTATTTTGATGAAAATGAACTTCAAGGTTTTGTGACATCTCTTTGGCTTCACATCTCTGTTATATACATATTCAGAGCCGTAATATAGTTTGCCAGGTAAAGGTGGAAATAGTTGACTAAATCAAAAGCTATCCTTGTCCAAAAAGAGGGAAAAAAAAAAAAAATCAAAAGTTGAAAGTTCGGAACATTATTGTTTTTGTAGCGAGCATCTAGACGGTAAGAAAATGATGTTTGATGTGTGATATTTGAACCAATTTTTTCGGTCAATGTTAACCGAACCAATGATATCAAATACTTTGTTATAACAAATATAACAATTTATCTGAAACAAAAGAAACAAGATATACTTTCTTGGTCTAGCTAAGGCTCTGTTTCTTTTCTTTTTCTAATAGTATTTTCAAAATAATATAATAATATTGTCTCATCCCAACATACTTTTTACATTTCCAATATAAAAAAATATCTAAAAATATACACTAAAAAACGAAACAAACATAACCTAAATTTCACTCAGCACTCGAGGGAGGGAAGCAGTAGGCCAGTTGCCGATTGCAATACTTTCATATATTGAAGAAGTTTTTGTACTTAGAATAAAAGTTACGAATTTTCATTTTCTCCCATGCAAAATATATAATGAGGTTAAAAGATGCTAGTATAAACAGTGTTGTTCCACATGAGCCGGATACCACCTGAAAAACACGATGCTTCGACCCAAAAGGATTTTTCGAATTGGCTGCCCTTTATGAAATCATCCGCTTCCTTGCCGCTAATTCGCGGCTCTAGTAATGCCACCACATCCGAGCGTGATTGCTGAATCATAGAATTAAAATTCCTGCGAAATTCTTTTTTCTTTGCCCGTTGCACATTCCATGACAAAAGGTTAATATCCATAAAAACTATGTACACAAAAAGTTAAAACAACACCTTAGTTAGAGATTGGAGATACAGACGATTTGTCGGTATCCTCATCCATAACACATCTCTCCTCCGGTATCTGATTTGGCTCCTGGTCATCATCCTGGGTCATCCTTGGTCCCAAACCACCTTCATCGTCGTCTGGCGGCCTTGGTTCCTTCCCATTCTCATCAATGAAATTATCACTCCTGGCCTTATCCCCTGGGTCATAGGTTAAGGATGGCTTAGGTAATTATTGGACTGTTACTGCCTGGTGCTTTGTTGGATCTAGCGATGAGAGGGACGTTGTGACCCTTAGGTGTGGTTGGGATAGTTGTTGTACTGTGTGGGCGCCAGACATTGGGTTATCATTTTGTGCTGTGGGGTTTTGTGGCTGCAGTGATTGGGAGCGATTGACGGCTTTGGGTTGGGTTTTCTGTTTGGTTTGGGCTGTGTTGGGTTTTCTGTTTGGTTTGGGCTGTGTTGGGTTTGGGGCTGGATGAGGATACATTGGTAGTGGCTCCTTTGACTTCCCTCCGCTTCTTCTTTGGACTTCCATTCGTACTCCTCAGGGACCCCCTCATGCAATTTCAGTCTCATAGGACCCAGTTGACTTTCTGATTGGTTTTTAAACCTTGTTTTGTCTGGATTGATTCTCTCCTCCAAGTTTCCTGCCACCTTCCCTGGTAGGTCAATGTCGGTCTCCTCGAGATTACTCAGCATATCGAATCTGGACCCACTGTTATTACGAGAAGTGGAGAATTTCCCTACTTGGGCTTGTGCACCTTGCTGTAAAGGTCTGGCCCTTCTAGTTTTGGCATACACCCACTCCCCGAGGTGTGGTTCCCCGTGATCCTTTGTCCCACTAGTTGGCACCCCATCTCCGGCCACCGAAATCCTTTGTTCAAGCTTCGTCTCCGATCCCTTTATTGGTGACTAAATGAACATACATCCATTCGCATTATGACCAACTCTGCCACATTACATGCAGATCAAAGGTAGATATTCATATTCCACCGGTTGAATCCTCTCTCGAAGTTCGAATTGAGCACACAGAGGTTGGGCCAAATCAATTTCCACCACCAGCCTTGTGAATCTCCTTCTGGTTCTCGCTGCCGTTTGGTGGTCGATATGCACCACTTTACCAACCAATTTTCCCACTAGGCGCCGGAGAAAATTCTTGTTGTAGTAGTGCACCGGGAGTCCCAGAAGCTGCACCCACACTGCCATAGATGGATCTTATGAAGGTTAGCATCGAAACAATTATACCATAATTCAACATGAAGATAAGCATCAAATAGAATCTACGGGCACCCACACAATATTTTTGTCATGTCCTCTGGGTTCCAAAACTTAACCAGATGGTAACCATTCTGCTGGTCCAGAGTTGAGAACCCTTTCGTACTCCACCATAATGATCTTAAACGACGTTTGAATGCCTCAAAATTCTTCACCGTCTTTCCTATTAAACGGACCACCAACACATCTTTCCAAAACCTCGCGAGTTGCTCCTCCACTCTGTCTGAAGTGATGGCCTTAGGGATAGAACCACCTAAATCAAACATAACATCATCATCCAGGATGTCAATCTCCTCTTCATCTTCAAATGAATTGAATTCTGGGTCCCATTTTCCATTCATCATTGTTTCCCTGTATGACGGCGACGACTGTGGGTGGTTCCATTCCTCTTTTGGTCCTTAGTCTAGCTTTCTTTGTGGATCTATCGTACACTAGTGGCGGGGCTAGATCTTTGCACCTGTTTCCCAGTATTAGGTCAGGTGCACGCAGCCGTCCTGGGTCAACAGTTATTGAATCCTCTATTAATCAAATCTAGAAGTTATTGTTTTCCCTAGGTAACTAGAGAGAGAATTCTAGAGAGAGAGAGAGAGAGAGTCGCGTGATTTGCTGGTTCTGTTGAATTTTAAGTTCAAATTTTATTTAATACTCCCTCCGGTCCTCAATATAAGACATTTTTATTTGTCATATGTTTCATCTAGTACGCATTTTTAATTAACAAAAAATCTTTAAAAATATTTCATAACAATTAAGAGAACATAACGAATGTGAAAATATATTTTTAAGATTTTTTCGTCAATTAAAAGTACGTACTAGGTGAAACTTATGACAAATCAAAATACCTTATATTAAGGTCAGAAGAAGTATGATCGACATGAGATTTGAGTGTTAGACTTATTTACCATCACCATGTTCATATCACAAGTTATTTAATATTATAAATTTGTATTTTTATCTATTTATTTATGTAAAATTTATATGAATATTATTACTTTATTTTTTATTCCCTAAAATACCTTTTTGACAAAGTTTCTAGATTCTACATGGTCAAAATCAAATATTTTGTTAACAAATAATGCAAAAAGATCACTACTAAAATTGAAAAAATAGAATAAAATTAAAACTACAAATAAAAAATAAATTAGACTAAGGTAACAATGAATAAATTATCAATGATGTAAAAATGTCAAGACAAAACATGATGATAAAAAAGGAAATATGGAGAATAAACAGTGAGAAAATGTTAAAATCCTAAAATATGGGAATTGCGATACCACTTCCAAGATGAAAATTCATAATCCAGGAATCTTGTTTTATTTTTCTCGATATCAATTTTTTTTTCTATCTCGAAAGTAAACGAATAAAGGAATCTATAATGAAGAAAATGATTACTTTTCTATACAAGACAAACAGTTTTAGAATTTGAAAATAATAAATTAGATTACTTTCCAACTCAAAATCCCTAACAACCAAACACGATTAAAAATATAATTGGAAATTGATTGAAAGTCTTAGTTCTCGATCTATTTGAGAGAGTTGTGTTTCCTATATCGTGTTTTTTTAGATAATTGTTCTCCATCAGATCCAATGATGGGAGAGAGATCCATGAATATGGGGATTCCCATAAGAACAAACGAAGAATTGCTTTACATTTGAGATTTCTACATACAAAAGATATGAGACTCAAAGTCATACCTGTTGTTTTACTTTCATTTTTTTTTGGTAAAAATGTGAATTTCATTGCTTCAAAAACAAGTTATTTAAATCATTCAGCTATACAACTCTGCCTATTTTGATTTCTAAGTGTTCACGGAATCTAATATCATCACCACCACCATTTCTATACATGTGTTGAACTCTCCATTTTATTTTGATTTTCAAATGTTAAAATCTAGACTTCACCTCTTCTTTTCGATCTCCAAACTTTCTGTAATTTCTCTCATTCCAGATATGATGAATAGTTGCATTTATACAAGCATAAAGTGTTTGTTTCCTCACTGCTTTGAACCTCCAAATCCTCCTCAATATACTTTGCTGTAAACCTTTCATGCTTCCATTCAGTCCCAACCACTGCATGATGCTGGAAATTATCACTATAGCATATATACATCTGAAGAACAAGTGACTGCTAGTTTCCTCTCATTGATCACATGACACACATTGCTTGCTTTGGACATCCACATTCATCTTCACCAATCTGTCTATAGTCAACAATTTGCCTTTCCAAGCTAACCGACTAATTAGAGTATGTTTAGGAATGGAAAACTTACTCTAAATTAGTTGAGCAGCTACAAACTTGTCCTTATAACCCCTCATCTTTGCATAACCACTTCCTGTGTTGTACGGTTTACCATTCCTTCCTTTCCAGCTTCTATCTTGTACTCATGTCTTCAATAAGTTCCTGATTTTCATCAGTTTCTTCCAGTGCCAACTGCAATCATTAGGAGGCTCATATTCCCATACACTTTGTCCTTTCAAGTAGTAGATAAGAATCCATTTGATCCATAAGCTTTCTTTCTGTGCTTCAATATCCCATTGTTGTTTACCTATTAGTGCTTTATTCCACATACTTGGTTCCTTGATGTTAAGTCCACCTTCACCCTTCTTCCTGCAAACACATCCCAAGATACCTAAGACCAGCAGTTCCCATTTGATTTTACTCCCCAAAGAAACTGTCTACAACAAACATTTATTTGATGAATGATAGATTGAGGGATGAGGAAAATGCTTGCATAATAAGAATGCAGGTTAGTAGAAATGCATTGATTAGAATCACTCTTCCAGCATAAGAGAGATTCCTAGATGACCAGCACTTGATTCTTGAAGTTAACTTGTCTATCAATACTTGGCAATCAGCTTTTGTTCAAGCAGTTGGAGAGATTGGCAATCCTAAGTATTTCATAGAAAAGGATCCTATCTCAAAACCAACTGTTTTCTGTATATCCATCTGTTCCTCTATACTGATGCCTCCAAAATATATATTAGATTTGTTCATATTCACCCTTAAACCAGTGGTGCTTGCAAACTGTTCCAAGACATCCTTCACCTTCTGTATAGTCTGTTTGTCAGCTCCACAGAAGATTAAAAGGTCATCTGCAAAGCTCAATGAAGTTATCTTCAAGTTTTCACAGTAAGGGTGCATTTGGAATCCCTCCTTCTTTTCTTCCATCTTGACTAATCTTGACAAATATTCCATAACCATGACAAAAAATAAAGGTGACATGGGATGACCCTGCCTTAGTCCCCTTCTACCTTGAAAATATCTTGTACTGTTACCATTCAAGTTGATAGAGTAACTACAAGTTGTAATATAGGTCATCACCCAATTAACAAACTTATCAGGAACTCCAAATTCCACCAATATCTCTCTGATAAAGTCCCAATGTATAGAATAATAAGCTTTCCTCAGATCAACCTTCAATACACAACTTGGCTTAGCATTTTTCTTTTTGTAAAGTCTGATCAATTCCTGTTCTAACAATATCTTATGCAGTATTAACCTTATCTTCACAAAAGCACCCTGATTCAAGTCTATCAACTCAGACAGAACAACACTTAATCTTTTAAAAATCATTTTTGAAATACATTTATAGATTGTGTTGCAACATGATATAGGTCTGTATTGCATCCTTTGGACTCTCATTCTTAGGAATCAAAGATATCAAGGTGGCATTAGTTTGTTTCAGAAGCTGACCTGTCTTGAAGAACTCCAATACAACATCACATACATCCTCTTCAACAATGCTCCATGCTTTCTTGTAAAATCCACTATTGTATCCATCTGGACCAGCACTTTTGTTCTCATCAATGCTGAATAAAGCTTCTTTAACATCTGCTCTAGTAAATTCTTCAGTCAAGAGAGTCTGGTGGTATACACTCAGTTTAATTCCTGACTGAATGACTTCACTTTGAGCAGAAGTTCTTTCCGCCTGTACTCCTAGAAGCTGTTGATAATAATTCAGAAAATGAGATTCCACTTGGTTCCAGTCTTCCTCAATAGTACCATCTTCTTTAGTAAAGTTTTTGATCTTGTTCCTGATACTTCTTTGTTTTATAGTTGCATGGAAGTATATTGTATTCATATCTCCTTCATCAATCCATTTTTTCTTCAACTTTTGAGTCCAAAATGCCATTACTGCTTTACTAAGTTCTATATACTCTTGGATAGCCCCTTTTTCCTCTTTCTGTACGTAACTCCTCATTACTTGGATCTTCATACATTTTCTCCTGTATCTTTTTCAGCTTCATTTTACTCATCTGCTCTCTTTCTTCAATACATGAATAGTTTTTTCTATTCAGTTTCCTCAACTCATTCTTCAACATCTTTTGCTTTTTCTAAACTAAACTGTTTCCACCCTTCAATTCTCTCCTGCCACACCTTTCTAACAGTTTCTTTAAAGTTAGGATGTTGAGTCCACATGTTATAAAACTTAAAAGCTTTCTTCTTACCATACACTTGATCTCCCCATCTAATGAGAAAAGCATTACGATCTGAGATGCCTGCTGGTAACACATTAGCATAAGCTTCTGGAAACTTTTGTAACCATTCCTCATTAACCATTATTCTGTCAATCCTGGATAGTATTCTCATGTCTCCCAATTGCTTGTTAGACCAGGTGAACCTGCCACCATTCACCTTCATCTCCCATAGCTTATTGGTTTCAATCATCTTATTAAACTCAGTATCAGGACTGATTCCATAGGTACCTCCAATTCTTTCTTCAGCCTTCCTCATGCAATTAAAATCTCCCATCATAATCCGCTTTCCAGTTACATTTCCTGCTATTGCTGTCAATTCTATCCACAAACTTTCTCTTCTTTGAGCATTATATTAAGCATATACCACAGTTAGCTGAAATTGCTGATTCCCACCATGCTCTTTGACTTTGCAATGATTGAATTGAGGATGTATCTGAACTGTATTTATCAGATACTCTCCCTTCCTCCATAGAACTAGAATTCTTCCTTTCTCTTCTCCCATTTCATTACTAATACAATCATACTTACTCCATTTCCTGTTCATTAGTTCCTCCACTTTATCTTTAGTAAGTTTTGTTTCCAATAAACCAACCACTCCAACATTATTCACAGTGAGACAATTTTCTATCTCCTTGTGTTTCAGGGGACTATTAAGTCCCATTATATTCCATGATAATATGTTATTCATGTAAACTAGGCCCTTTAGAAGGGTGACTAGTATCATGATAACAAATATTATTCACAGATTTCAATCTCTCACTTCTTCCTTCTGTGATCTTAACACGTTTGTGATTCATGATTTGTATGCCTTCATCATCACTGGGCTTCTCCTCCTGTGGCTTGCTACTGCTCTTCCCACTTGCAACTGTCTTATGTGATTCTCGCCTCACTGTCTCCTTATCCTTAGTCTTACCTTGTATTTCATTCTTTCCTCCTGTCACATTTACTCTTTGTTCCTCCTTAGCTTCTGATTGGCATTTCGAGCTACTTGCTTTACTCTGCCATTCCTTTTCCACTGGTTTTCTACACAGAGTTGTTAAATGTCCAAATCTTTTATAATTTAGGAATTTCACAGGTTTCCATTCAAATCCTATAATCTATTCTTTTAGTCTACCCTCCTCATCTTCAAACCATACTGATTCCTTTAGTTTCTCCTTTATTTCAACTTCAATTAGTACCCTTGCATAAGCCACTCTTTGCTTCTGAGATGTCATCTCATCCATTTCAATTGGATTACCTACCATACTTGCTAATCTGCTCAGAGTTGTTGAATTCCAATATCTTAAAGGCAGTCAAGGAAATTGTACCCAAACTGGCACCCTTTTGGTATCTTTCATCACAATCTCTTCGTTCACAGCTCAATCCTTTACAATCAGTGGTCTACCATCAAAATGATACACATTCTGTTTCAAGATTTCTTCCTTAGCATTCACAGTTTTAAACCTTACCACAAACACTCCATTTTCAAGCAACAAAAGCTTATCCACGCCCAGTTTACCCCAAGTTCTTCTTATGTATCCATTCATCATTGAATACGGCAGATTTGTTCCCAACACATAGCAAATCACTGATGGTTTCCAGTAATCAAGTTCACATTGGTCTTCCTCCGTTGTTATCTTCCCAATTTCCCGATCATTAACCACCTTAGGTTCTATGAACGTAAGTTTTCTTTCTTGACTTTGAAGTTTCTTCGGATCAAAGTTTCCTCATACATACGATTCCTTAGTACTATTCCCAAAATTGAGCTCAATTTTATCATTCACGTGCAATTTTGAACACTCTCCAACCTCAATACTCGCTGATTACCAACTCTACACAGTATTAATGGCGATTCAGACAAAGCATTAATGGCAAAGTTAGTTTCCTAACCTGGTTTGAGCTCGCCTGAGCTTGATCAATTCCCGTAGATTGTTGGCTATTTTCTGTCCCTTACTGTCCCTGAGCTTCTGTTCTTTCCGTTTCCCCCTTTTTCTTCGCCTTCTTGGCCATGGCCGATGGCAATTGCATCAGAGAAGTCGTCGGACGGTTACACATAGCCACGGTGTAATCGCCCCTAGAACCAGAGAGAAAACATATTCTTTTCGTTTCTTTTTCTAACTTAGGTTTCTGATTGTTCGTTTTACTTTCATTTATTTAGAGCTAACTTTATTTGTTATAATTTTCATTCTTTTAAAAGTTTCTAAATGATTTATATGCTTTCTACTGTAATTAGAATTTTGTTTGTTACATTCTAATCTAATTAGTTTAGCCAAAATGTGTCTACAATATTGAGTTAATCTCTTTTATGTTTTTAATTATAACGAGAAAGACAGATTGTAATAGTTCAATCGTAGATTATCATAACTCAACCCTTGTAATTGTTTATTTCAATCATTTTTAATATAACAATTATCACTTTTGACCAAAAAAAATGAACGACAAAATTAATTATTCGCTCTACAAACTGAAAACAAAATATGCAAATTGCATCGAACTTTGGAGATGCCGGTTAATACAGAACTCGTAATAGTTTCTGTTAATTGGTATGGTATTATAAAAATAAGTATCATACATACATACGAAAAAAAATTCATACATACGAAAAAAAAAAAGACAAATTGTAATAGTTCAATCATAGATTATCATAACTCAACCCTTGTAATTGTTTATTTCAATCATTTTTAATATAACAATTATCACTTTTGACCAAAAAAAATGAACGACAAAATTAATTATTCGCTCTACAAACTGAAAACAAAATATGCAAATTGCATCGAACTTTGGAGATGCCGGTTAATACAGAACTCGTAATAGTTTCTGTTAATTGGTATGGTATTATAAAAATAAGTATCATACATACATACGAAAAAAAATTCATACATACGAAAAAAAAATGAGTCTATAACAATTTTGCAGCATACATAATAGCCAAGGAAAATATATAGGAAACATGAGATTGAAATGATTCAAGAGAGTATATATACATCAAAAACAAATAATCTTCCATTTATTTATGAACAATATAGATGGAAAAGTTTATAAAATCAAATCAATATTTCTAATCAAACAACTAAATCAATAATGTTGGATGATAACGTGGTACTCCAAAAGGGCATTGAGCTTCTCCATATCGACCTTCACAGTATTCGCGGTCGCAATTCCACGGGCCAACCGAAATGCTCCGGTTCCTCCCAGTATCGGAAATTCTCTGTATTCGTGAGAAATTGGATTGTTCGCTAAAACGCTGAGAGAACTGTTTCTGTATTCTCCTTTTGTGAACACGAAATTTATCGCCATAGACAGTACATGCTCATCACGTCCTGCGAAACTGTATGTGCCTTGGAGCCGGCCGATAAGGTCAGAATTAGGATCCGAATCAACAGTTATCGGAGCATCCATAACGTAGGTTGATCCGAAAGCAGCTGATGGAGTGACGGCGTTGGCCGGAGCGACTAAAACCGATGTGGGATCGTCGGCGGTAACATTGTCGTGGACAAAGAAATGGAGCTTCGTAATCTTGGGTTTTGTTCCATGATGTTGAATATGGTCGTGGAACCATTTGTCAACCGCTTCAGGGCTGATCTCATGATCAACATTACTAGCCAGGATGATGATTTAAAGACCTGCTTTTTAGATTTTGTTGTGTTTGATGTCTGAATTATTTGATCAAAATGTGGTTGAAGATTTTGTGACATCTCCATTGGGTTTCACCTCTCTATTTATTATACATGTATTCAAAACTTATTAGTTCCCAGTGAAAGGTGGACATAGTTGACTAATCAAAAGGTTGAAAACTCTCATTCAAAAGATAAAAATAAATAAATAAAATTCAAGAAGTTGAAAACTTGGAAATCAAGTCGCCATGATTATATCATGAATGATGTAATCCCAAAAAATATATTTGAAATCAGATAACGCCTCTGTCTTTGTAATAGAGAAATAGTACCGTCATTACTGGAAGAAAAGTATATTTGATGTGCGAGTCATTTGGACAATTCCTTCTTGAAACGTCTTGTCGGTTAATTTACCGTGGTAAGCACAGCTTTATGGAATAAATCATCAAACTGTTTTAGGTTCTGGGTTTGAAAATTGTCACAGACATAAAGTAACTTTTGATCAATTGTCCCACTTATCAAAGTGTTTATAATTCAATGAGTAGATTAATTCTCTTTATCTATTTATTATATTATACTTTTCATATCATGTATTTTTCTTTTAATCTAGATGTTAGCATTTTACTCCATACACAAACCTTGGGGGTGGAGTTCAAATGGACAAGAAATACTTGTCTCCCTGACTCCTTCGTAGCCTAGAGAAAGTCTCGACGGATTCTTATCACCTGTTCGATCTATAACCCATAAAGATAGAAGGCCAAAATTAGTACATAAGTGAAAAAACAAATTAATTAACTGAACTTAACCAAATTAATGTAAGATAAGTATCAAGATGACCAGTTTTCTACTCTACCTGATGACTCTTAGTAACTCAACGTAAAATCTTTTTTTTTTTTATCGATAAAACAGTAAAAGTTGAATAACATAACCACAACTGATTTTCACATCATTTCAAATTTCAAACTGTCACAACCTTTAACATGCTGAATTTTAATTCTCACTCCAAAAAAAAGGAAAAAAATAAACAAGAAGTTACGACTTCAAACACAAGAACAATATTTGATGGTTTGAATGGGTCTTTTGCGTAATGTATGATTTATTTGATGAAAATGAGGTTGAAGATTGTGTGACATCTCCTTGGCTTCACCTCTTTGTTTATACATAATATTCAAGACAGTAATTAGTTCGCATTTAAAAGTGGAAATAGTTGACTAAATCAAAAGTTGAAAATTAGTTTCTTCTCCCCCAAAAAAAAAAAGAAGAAAAGAAAAATAAAACCAAAAATAAATAAATAATAAATAAATCGAACGTTGAAACTTAAGGTAACAAATACTCCAGGTTAATTACAAGAACGGTCATGGTTATGGAGTACCTTTTATCCTAAGAATATTTGAAAGTTGAAACTAGGCACTACAGAAAATTTTGAAAACTTGGCCATTAGCTCTTTTTCTCTTCAATGGATATCATGACTGGAAGGAAAGTGCGTGTGTGTCATTTGGACGATTCCTTTTCTCTTTCCATTTCTAAATATTAAATAAATGATTAAACTGTTTTAACCATATATAGTCTGTGCCTCTGTGGTTCAAAACTCGACATAGGCACAGATTAACCTTTGATCAATTGTCCCGATCATATCAAGATGCCTGTAAATCAACGAGCATATTAGTTATTTTTGCCTATGGTATACGTGTTATATGAAGAAGAAAAAAAGAATCATTAAACAATGGTATTAATTTCTAGCTGTGGTCAATCATTTAACTAGCCGATGGCAGCACCCAATGCATGCTTTACAAGTCCTCCACCACCCACCCCCGAATGGTACTTGGTACTTGTCGTTTTGAACTTCTCTTTATCTATTTATATTTGTACATTTCGCATCATGTATAATTTTTTTCTACAGTACTAATGTTGTACCGTGCGTTGTACGGTGAAGTTTTGATCTTTATCTTCAGAAAAAAAAAAAAAAACAGGAAAAGTAAAATCGATGAGTCTCATTCTATTTTCATTTTCATCTTTAACAGCAAGTCACACTGCATCGTTCTTATTAAAAAGGTTCCGAATCTTTTATGGTTTACAAACTTGCAATAAGTTTAGTATTTTAGCTGGTCATCATCACAAAGTACTTGTCGTTTTAAACTTCTCTTTATCTATTTATATTTGTACATTTCGCGTCATGTATAATTTTTTTCTACAGTATTAATCTAGAAGTTTGAATTTACTTTGATAAAAATTAGCATTCTAATTTTTAAAATCGACGCGCCTGCGCCAAGCCTAATCCATATATCCTCCCTTGATTGAGATAGGCCAAAAGTACTTTGTGAGACCATAAATACGATTTTTATTTTCAGACGTAGGAAATAAATTGAGTCTTTCTCCCATATCAATATCCAAAGATGAGTGGAATTAATGAATTTCCAACCAGTTTGATCAAAGTTGAGTTGACTTTCCAAATATGAGTGTGTCGCGAATCGAGTGAGGGAGAGAGGGGCATGTAGAAGGATGTCAAGGAAGCGGTAAGGGGCGATAACTGATACGATGCTGGGAGCTGTGGAATTCGGGAGAGATGTGAGGATGATCTGACCCCACGAGTAAATTGGGTGAAAGTTGATGTAAATGGTACGTAATTTTTTTTGGTTTTTATTTATTTATTTTTTTCATATTACGCACGGTGTCTTAAGTGCATTGCGCTTATACTTACCGAATAGGATCGTTCTTCTTTCAAAGAGAAAGCTCTCCCAACATTGCTCATTCCATTCACGAGATTCGAACCCAAGACATCGTTTAAGGGAACTAAAGCACCTTATCACTTCGGCAATAAGAAATAACAATTACTGGGCTTGGGCCTGTTATAAAGGATTGTTTTGGTAAATTGTTAGGGGTTTACGATAAATACATTTTTTTTTTTAATACAGGGGCTTTGTTTAAATATAGGAAGTTGTGGTTGTTTAAGGTGTTGAACCTTGCGCCGCTGATTAGTAAGCAATAACCCGTGACTCATTTGATCCAACCCGTAGGGTCAAAGACAAATAAAATATTTTCTACAAGGTTTTAAAGGTGGCAAATATTTTAAGGTTTTGGAGAAGAACATGGAAACATATGACTTGCTATGGAAAATAAAAGTGATTTGGAAATAAATTTTAATTAAACTATGTATGGAAACTTCCATTCTTTGTTATTTATTTATTTATTATAAAACTATATCTTTCGGATTTAAGAAACATATAAATCCAATTAAATTTAAAAACTCAGATTTCAAAAATCCGAAAATCTTATCTAGTCTCAGAGCAAATACACCCGACTCTGTTGTACTTTCAGATTTACGAAATCCGAAGGTCCTTTTGAATTTCGTAAATTTTCGAATTTTACAAATCTAAGAGATACTTTTATCCACTCCTCTTGTCAAGAATTCCGGCCCAAGATATAAGGTCAAGAGAATTTTCAATATTGAGCCCAATAAATAATATGAACCCACTTATATTTGGCTTAGTAATTCTTGCTACAAAAATTTAAAAAAATAAAAAAGAATTAATTTCTTGTACCAAAAAAAAAAGGAAAAAAAAAAGAAGTAACTATAAAAATATCTTCAAAAATTTTATATGTAGCTCAACACGCCATGATGTACCGCCAAAAATTATTCTATAGCAAGTTATGCGATACCTATTTATTTTGATCAGCTAGCTGAGGTAGTACTTTTATTGAAGTGTTCTCTTTATTTTCCAGGACGAATATTAAGAGGCATATTCCGAATTTTAAAAATTTATTATCTACTTTTGAAATAATTATTATTATTTTTTTTTTGTATATTGCAGGGTGTCCACCGTTGAAAACAGTTACTAATTCTCCTCGCTTATGGTAGACACCTCGATGGGTGGGAGAGCTGGCCAAAGGATTGTTCTACGCCCATAGCGAGGTTCGAACTTTCAACCTATGGTTAAGGGTAGAGGAGTCTTTATCACCCCACCACAACTCCTTTGGACCGTGACTATGTAGTTTTGAAATAAATTGTAAACTGTAAACTTAGTATGGATTTTGGACCGTGACTATGTAGTTTAATGTAACGTGATGATAATTTTAATTCCCAGAAGAATTTCAGAGTTCGGAAGGGAAAAGGAAGAAAGGGGAGAAAAAGGAAGAACAGAAATATATTTTCAGAAAGGAAAATCAGAGTTGATGACAAATTCCATAATGATTCTTCGTATAATCAGGAGCGTGATTATATGGTGAGTCACTGCCTCCGTTGTCCTCACTCTAACGGATAATCCTTAAGGAAACTTCTAGATTTTAGCTAATACTAACTTATGCTAAAGAAAAACAGTAACAAGACCGAAAAACTGACTCAATACACCGCCATTTTGGAGACGACGTCGCACGAGTTCAATTTCCCAATTGACAAACCCTAAATTAAAATAAATCTGATAATTTAATTTAGCTATAGCGTGACAATGCCTTCCTCTTCAAAAAAAGCTTGGCCTCAAGCTTTGAAAGTGGGAAATTGCTTCCTTATCAGCTCTTGATCCTCCCACGAAGCATCTTCCAGCTCAAGACCTTTCCATCGTATCAACCATTGCACAATCTGTTTTTGCTTCCTGAGAATCACTCTTCTTTGCAGCACTGTTTCAGGGAACAAACAGCTTTCTTCATGCTCCGAGAAATTAGGTGCAGCTGTGGAGCTTACAGGTCGGTTGCCATGGTGTTTCTTTAGCAATGAGACGTGAAAAACAGGGTGAATTCGGGCATAATCGAGGAGTCTCAGGCGATAAGCAACTGTACCGATTCTTTCCAGAGCTTCATAGGGACCGTAATACCTGTACATGAGCTTCAAAGTGTTTCTGATGGCAAGAGAATGTTGCCGGTATGGTTGGAGCTTTAGATATACCCAATCTCCGATCTCCGAAACGCGGTCTGTCCTCTTCAAATCAGCGTAGTACTTCATTCTCCCTTGTGCTTTGTTCAGCTGATCCTTCACGATCTTCATCACTTTTGAACGCTGCTCCAACGTATTCTCAGCCGCTAGGATAATTACATCGCAAAAAGGGCCTAATGGAAGGGAAATCAGCTTGCAACCGTGGAGTGCTTCATAAGGAG